GAAGAGATCTAGTAATTTTTTTTTGGGGGGGGGAGGTGTTTGCCACGATTAGGGCTGTAGACTGTCTCTAGAAGACTTGTAGCCTGTAGCGTGGAATCGTGGAAACTGTATTCGTTGACTCTGCCTAAATTTTATTTAATCTTAGAATGCGTGAATCTACTATATATATATATATATATATATATATATATATATATATATATATATGAAGAAATCCTGTTCTTTTTCTGTGGCATCGCTTTCAAAACATCATCACACCTGTAGTCGCCGTAAACTATTCCAAAATAGCAACTTTCCAAAGAATACCAGGATGTAGACAAAGGAATGCTGCCTGCCACACAAACGCCATATTGGTTCTTGAAAATGACTGAGAGGATCTGAAGTACTTGAACTAAATATGAAAACAAACATGAATTTTGGACAGTCTATCAAAAATTTCGAGCTAAATACACAACATTTTATTCAAAAATTGGAAAAAATAATAAAATATTAAACAAACAGATCTTGTCAGTTCTTTTAAATCAAGGTTACGTGCAGCCTATATATATATATATATATATATATATATATATACGAGCAGCATGGCCCGGCGTTGCCCGTACTTGATTCAATACATACAGCAATCGCTATCACGTGACTTAAAATATTTTTGCCCTTCCTTGCCTTTAAAGGAGTGCCCTTTGCCGTGCTGATGTTGCTACATGCCTTACTTCTTGCTTTTTCACGACCATCCCAGTTCTGCGGAATCAGAATCAACGTTGAGTTGAAGCAAGCGAATGAGCCAATTGGAGTAAAGTGCCATGCAGATTTAAATTTTTCCCACTTGAGAAGAATGCAGCTATCGATTTTTTTTTTTTTTGCATGCTAGCATGCTAGTTAACACTGTTGGCTCTCACGCTGGCCAATAGAATCTTCCTGCCTATTCGTGGCAGCCAGCTATAGGCTCTCACTCTGGCCAGTACAAAATCGCCGCAAACTACATGAAAACTGCTGTAGAAGCATGAAAAAAATCGATTATTTCCACTATCGATGGGAGTTGGGAAATGCAAAGTCGGTCTTGGCCTTTCCGCTAACTTGAAGCATGTGCGTGTAAATTTTGGTGCAAATCCGTCGAAAATTGCGACTGTGCATTCGTTACATACACACACACACACACACACACACACACACACACCCCCTGCCTTTTATATATATATATATATGTATATATATATATATATATATATATATATATATATATATATGCGTGTGTGTGTATGTGTGTGTATGCTTATGTCTGTGTATATATATGTATGTATGTATGTATGTATATATGTCTGTATATCTATGTTTGTATGTATGCATGTATATGTATGTGTGTCAGTGTACATATATATATATATATGTATATATATATGTATGTATGTATGTATATATATATATATATATATATATATATATATATATATATATATATATATATATGTATATATATACGGAAAAACTTACTAAAGAGAATTTGTCCTCAGTACGCAGACTGGTAGACGAAATGATTAAATAATGTTTAAAATAAACGGAGTGTCTACTACAATATGGGTATCTACTTAAAGTAATGTTTAAAGTTATATATATATATATATATATATATATATATATATATATATATATATATATAGTAAACACTATGCTGCATGCAGCAAAGTGTTTGTATATAATAAAAGAAACGGTGTCCACTCAAACATGAGTATTAATATAAAACAATTGTTTGAATAATAAAAATCATGCTGGATTAATAAACTACATTGAATTTTTACAAACACATACACACACACACACACACACACACACACACACACACACATATATATATATATATATATATAAATTGTCCGAATGTTATGTATGGTACACAGTTTATGTTCAGAAAAGAACACAAGAAAAATTAAATAAAAAAAAAACTAACCACAACACCTTGTCAGTTGTTTCAATGAAATTTGTATAAAAGAAGCATTGCTACCCAGATACACAATTATATATATGCAAAATATCAGAAACACTGACCTTATATATATATATTTGTTTGTGTGTGTGTGTTTGTGTAAAATATTCAAAACACTGACCTTATTATATATAAAAAAAAAAAGTTTACGCTGTGTTGCCACGTAGACTAATATACATTTGGCACTCGTGTAAATTTGTGCTAGACTGAAGACCGAGATCCACTCGTACGTCTGACCACGAAGAACTCATTCTGCAGACTTTCGGAGATGATCCAGGTATCAGCTCACACCTCATAGTACCGCATGGCGGGTACTTTGAGAGCAGCTTCTCTATCCGTATCATTTACAACGTGTGCGGGGTCTTTCGCCCTCCGATCGCTCACTGTCAATCGGCTGTTTTTCTCGGTCTTCCTCGATTCATAGTGTGTGGTGCCACAGATTCTGTTTCAACAACTGCAGCAAAGTTTCAATTACCCGGCTGCCTTCTGCCTGGAAATGCTTTCTGGTACAGCTGTGCAGCCCCGCGTCCAATACCATTCACGCGGTCGTATGTAGAATCATATCTGCCTGCACACGAGATGAATATCCTGCCATTGTTGAACGGAACACTTCTCAGTTAACTCACTGCTACGCAGATTAAGCGTTGAAGACATATTAACCACAAATTTACACGAATGACAAATGTAACCTAGTCTAAATTGCAACACACTGTCATCGGCCGTAAATTTTCTTTAAACTTAATAATTCAAAAATGAAGGATTTGTGGAAATATTTTTATATGAACATTTGTCTCTGTTTTAGTGTGAGGAATCCATCCCCAAATTTTGTAAAAGTATTTTTGACAAACTTATATATATATATATATATATATATATATATATATATATATATATATTTCTGTACTTCTACGAGCAAGCAGAAAATTCTTTTTTCCTGATGATGGCTATGTTTGTCGAAACTAGTCGAGGAATCTAAATGAAATAATAAAAATATTAATATACAACCTATATGTCTCTGAAGATTTTAATTTTTTAACATTTTTTATTGTTCAATATATATATATATATATATATATATATGTGTGTGTGTGTGTGTGTGTGTGTGTGTGTGTGTGTGTGTGTGTGTGTGTGTGTGTGTGTGTGTGTGTGTGTGTGTAAAATATCAGAAGCATTGATTTTCTTGCAACCACAGTTTCTGCCGAGTTGCCTTCGTCAGGCAAGAAGTCATTAATTGGTTGCAAGAAGATCAGCATTTCTGATATTCTACATATATATATATATATATATATATATATATATAGATAGATAGATAGATAGATAGATATATGTAATTCCTTATAATAAAACAGTATGTATGTATGTAGAGGAAATATACGTATGCGTAACCATGCTGACAGAAACACAAAAAAAAATGGCAATAGATCTAAGGCTCATTAAAAGATAAGAATATAGATATCTTTCTCACCCATTCTCAGACCAGTCTTAACTGTTTTATTAACCTTCACGCAGAACTTTTTCACTGCCAGTTCAAGAAAGACGTTTGAATCACAAAACACAAAAAAGAGATTGTCTAATATCGAGAATATTTAACATCGAAAAATATAAGAAAAATTAATTCCTTTTAATAATATGTGAAAATAACCACTCTTTTCCTGATGAAGATCGCGAGACCGGAAACGCGGGTAGCAAAATTATGGGCAATAAAGCATAAAATATATATTTTTTTAAATCCACATTAAAACCAAAAACGTTTGCAGTTTCTCTCTTCTTTTTAATATATAGATATATAATTTAATTTAAAGAAAACCAGACAACTTTAAGATTCCATGGTTATAATTTATTTCACGAGGGAGTTTCTTTTTCCCTGGATCATCAGACCTCACTGCCAATGATGAAAAAATGAATTTAAACTTAAGTTTAAACTTCTGAAGGGTAGTATTAAGCTTATGTAAGGTGATATAGAGTGATGAGAGATAGCGTGACAGACATGGCCGAAATTAGAGAGGGAAGGGAGAGATAGGAATGCTTTTAAATTTATTCTTATAACAATACTTAATAGTGAAGAGGGGGTAAGGAACAGACATTGACCTATTTAATAGGTCAACTCACCCGAAACGATATAAAGAGAAAAAGGGGGGCGGAGAAGTAATGTAAGAAATAAGAGATGGACTTTTGAAGGAAAGAGAGGGGGATATAAATTTGGAGAGAGAAATTAAGTAAATTAACGTATATATATATATATATATATATATATATAGGTCAGTATGATATTTTACATATTAATTTGCCCTACATTTTCGTACTGTTTTGACGAATATCATTTTTGGCAAAAATTAAATTCATAATTGTACACGTGCATATACACACGCACACATACACACGTGCATATACACACGCACACATACACACGTGCATATACACACGCACACATACATATATAAATATAGAAACAGACAGACATGGAGAGAACCAAAGAGTAGCTGCGTAAGTTTAGTTTCTGTTTGCTTGTATGGGGGTGCATATGCGTAAACATATATATGCTTACATTCAAGCAGTATACAGGTCTCTCCACCCTTTACCTAGAACTATCGAATGAAAACAACACCCCCCTATAAGTATTGCCCGTCGTCGTTGGCGCCCGATTTAACCTCCCCACACCCCATCGATACACCGCAACACCAACATTACAGACTAAGAGCTCTCTTGAGTGGCGCCACCTACCGGAAATGCCGAAAATCAGCTCTCTGCCCTTTCAGTCGAACCCACCTCACCTATCCGTTCGATCTAAGTCCGGAAATCGCCGAACGCCTCGAACTGTACATCTGTGCTTAACCATAAAGCTGACTTCATGTGGATGTGAATGTGCGGTACCACCCACCCCATTCCGACTTTCTCCGCCGCCCCCACCACCCAACACAATACAAATCGTAGCCATATAAACTACTCAACTTACTGTTTATGGCTTTCAAAGCCGATTCATGTTGGCACCTAATATGCATCTGGTTCGGTTGAGTAGAATCGATCAAAGATTTGGGAAAGTGGTGAGGAAGGGAACAATGGACAGTGATAATGAAAGATAGATAATAGATGGAATAGATAGATATGAACAGAATGAGACCGATAAAGAATGAATGGACTGGAGATAGATAGATAGATAGATAGATGGATAGATATAGATAATGAAAAACATAGATAGAAGAGAGATAGAGATAGAGAGAGATAGAGAGAGAGAGAGACAATAGATAGAATAGATAGATAGATAGATAGATAGATAATGGCGAACAGAATGAGATGAGATATAAATAGGGCTGAGAGATAGATAGATAGAGAGAGAGAGAGACATGGATAGAAAACAAGATAGAGAGAGAGAGAGACATGGATAGATGAGAGAGAGAGAGAGAGATAGATAGATAGATAGATAGATAGATAAATAGAATGAACAGAATGAGATAGATATAAATAGGCTGAGATAGATAGATAGATGATGAATAATGATAGATAAAAGAGAGAGAGAGAGAGAGACATGGATAGATAATGAAAACATAGATAGATAGATAGAACATCTAGATAGATATAAATTTAGAAGATAGATAGATGAGATAGATAGAGAGAGAGAGAGAGACATGAATAGATAATGAAAACATAGATAGATAGATAGAACATCTAGCAATAAATTTGAATCGACTGTGATCGAAAGATTAGACGTAGATGAAATCTTTTGGCAATTTTCAACAAAT